AGACGTACTGAATCATTCTTCATTCATTCACTCAGCTCCTTCACTTTTACATTTCATTTCCATACTGAACAGATAAACAACCCTCAATGGTTTCCAGTAGTCATTTAAGTGTATCACTAAAAACAACAATCACATAAAAATCAATTATTAAAAACAATAAAACATTTTATGGTTAATTAAAAACCATTACAAAGTATATAAAGTACATACGTCGATACATGTCAGTTTTCTCTACATAGAGCTACTGATAAAAAGGAGCACTCAGCTGGTTCTGACCAGAAACTGGGTCTGAGTCTGACTCAGGTGAACTCAAGTGAGGAGGCCGTTAAGAAAAAGATCCAGAATTAACAATGAAAACAACAAAATAAAAGAACAATAATGAGTAAAAGTCACGTTAAGATCTTGAAAATGCACTATACAGTCTCAAATCTAGCAACTCTGATCAGATCTGGTTGTGGTGGATCACAGCTGGGTCAGTAACTGTAAGGCAGATTTTTGCAGCCCAGTCGCCACAGTAGAATTGTACATTTCTGCAAACCACGGATACATTTGTACATTTCATACGTATCATAACATCTCTAAAGTGACGTAGCTCTGACAACATGTATATGAGATGACTTTGTTGTTGGGAAATCGAGAGGATGGTGGATGGCGTGACACCTTCCAAGCTACAATCCTCTTTTCAAGACCGGCAAATAACAAAACCGGTGTGTTTCCAGAGGCATTTGTGGCACCAAAACCAGGTATTTTAAGCCAAGACATGATCTTTTCCAAATCGTAAGCAAGTGCTTTTTGTGTTAACCACAGCATAAAGTTTCAACATATCCACTACACATGAAACCTTGGTTTGCCGAAACGTACAATGTCGACATTTACTCTGGCGACTGGGCTGAGATTCGAGGTCACTGCTGTGACTGAAACGTTTTTCTTCTAGTCCTCATCTCTTCTTCAAAAATACGCTCTAGAAAACAACACTCCCGTTGAGCTGCTAGCTAACAAGGTGACGACACATTCAACAAAACAAAACAAAACAATGGATGGAGTTCACAGTCAGAAAAACACAAAAACTAAACAACTCTAGTCAATGTTGTTGAGATGGATTTTTCTTCTGCATAGAAACACGATCAGATTGTTGCAGCCATCGTTAAACGAAAGGCTGAGGTCCTCCAAAATGGCCGCCAGAGGGGAAGGCCCCTGCGGTCGTTTTCATTCACTCATTCGTTTGCCAGATTGTGGGACACGGGCCTCTAGTTTGACAGCAGTAAATTAGTGCAACTTGTAAGTAACACTTGGCACTGTTTTCTCAGTGGGGCAGTAACAGACAGATTTTATTTCTGTAAAAGCGTCATCTTTACATTATGGGTGGGTGCTGTCCAATTAGAGTGATGGGTTACTGATATTTCATGCAGTTCTGCAGTGTTATAGAAAGCACCTGCCACCTTCATAACACAACAATTAAATAAATAAATAAATAAATAAATGTATTAGGCTGGAGGACACTGATTCGGTTACATAAAGCCCTTTAAAAAATACTGTAAAACGAGAACGATCCCATTATCTTTAAGATTAACTGGGCTCAGTGTTTTCAGTCAGATTACTGTGCAGGAGCTTCATTCAGGTTAATGGGATTTGTTTGGAGGCCGATGAACCTCAAACTCTGTGATGACAATTTATGATATTAGTTAGCTTACACGGCTGGTACGTTGACAATTCAGGCAGCCAGGTACTTTTTAATCACAACTACCTGTAGTTTCAGTCTGCTAGCGGCAGCTGCAAAAAGTGTCAACAACTGTTTGCACTGCCAACAAAATGTAACACTTCATCAGTCAAACTAGAGGCCGGTGGTTTTTGCTTTTAAACATGCTTTCACCATTAAATGGGTCACCACTGCTTATAGCTTAGTGTCTCTATCATCTAGACATTTATATAACTGCATTTCCTCAAACACAGACAGATAAAATGAGGCTGTGATAAAGAGAATGATAACCACCAAACGTGGAGGTACACGTGAGACAGCAGGAATGGTAAGGGTGAAGAATAAAGGAGCAAATGGATATGAAGGCAAAATAAGGAGGGGGGGTGAATCTCTAAATGGATTACGCACCATGAGATTAAAGGGAATGGAAGTCTGACATTTCCACAGTTTTGTGGTTCCTAAACAGACACTAATGAGGTTTCGGAGGAAGCAACGGTGATTGAAAACAGACGTTTGGCAGCTTTGCGGCTCTGAGACATGATTCTGATTCCGATGACAAAACCACAACACAGAGGAGTGAAATTAACGTAATGAAGAACTTGTTCAACTGGATTGCTGAGGATTGTTTGATGACTGAGGTATAGATGTATGTTTCCTATTCAGAACTGACCAAAAAAGCTACACTCAGCAGTGAGGTCTGTGTAGCTTTTAGGCTCTAAAGTGTTGTAGCACAGAAACCGACTGAATGACGGCGGTGACGGCAAAGAGGGGGATTGACAACAAGGAATGTTTCCCTCCTCACTGTGTGTACCAATTCCCCTCTGTGCTATTCAGTTATGCGTATAACCAGCGTTGAACTCGAACAGTTAATTATTGCAGCTCTACTTCACATCTGTGCACGTAAGTTCACAGTTCAGGAGAACTAGTAATCTAAGAGTGCAGAGGTAAGTGGTCCAAATGTTTATGAAACATAATGACTGCAAACTGTCCTTGCGAGGGAATATCTCGATTTGTCTCATTACTGCCAACACAGTGAGCGACACCCTCGTGACACAGAGCTAAACTAAAGCAGCAAATTGACTGGATTATCGGTGAGGTGGCCTGATGAGGGCTCAGGTCATTTGGCAGCTTTAATCTCAGTAGTCCCCTCTCGTCAACAGACTGTAACGCAGTAACTGACTCTACTGTCAAAAATGCAGATGCACAGGTGCCGCACCCACACATTCACACGGAGGAAAAGTTCAGAACAAAATGATACGAAATCCAATGCTACCAACAGCTGTTAATCTCCCGTCAGGACTGCATGATTCAAACTACTACTACAGAAACTACTGTCCAAGCCGTAACAAACACGGTTTGTGTAGACTTGTCTAGCACCCTGCCAAAACTTTAAAAGGCCAATAATAACTGTCGAGTTTGGTGATTGGAAAAACAAACAAACACTGAGAGTTAAGGCTGTACAGACTCGTGAGAAGACCTTGTACCAACTGTAGTGTTTCGTTTCATTAATATCAGGCAGCAGATGCACAGCTCTCACAATTCACCAAGTTAAAGGAAAACTTCAACCCCCAAATGACTACTAGTTTATCAATAACTCAGCCTGTGTTACATTAAACATGTGAAGTAACAGTTTTTGCCTCCATGGTGAACAAAAAAATCCAAAACCAGAGGAAATTCTTGATGAATTGAGGTCATAGACGACTGCCTTTCACAACAGAAAAACTATATAAAAACATCCGACTGCAAACTCTCACACATCTACCACAGTATAATCCAGTGGTTTTCAAATGCACCAAAGGGCCAGCCAAAATCTCAAGGCACACCTGTACTTACATCTGTGCACAGTAGCTTCTTCAACGTGTTATTGTTATCATAAAAATAAAAATAAAAAATAAAAATAAAAAAATAAGACAGGTCGCTTTTGTGATTCTGTCGACTGACTTTTCTTTCAGTGTTAGGTCGTTTTCGTTGGTGTTTTGTCATAATTTGTCCAGTACAATAAGGCAAACCATTGTCCAACTCATGGCAGTCAATTAAAAATTAATTCATAGCTGAATATTGCAATAATAATGTGTGGTTATCACAAAATCCCACAACAGACCTGGACTGGCATCACAGCACACCATTAATCTAAGTCGGATTTATCCAGTCATATAAGGCCCGTTTCCACCGCAGGAACTTTGGGGTAATTTTACGGGGCCGGGGCCGTTGGTGCATGTCTCCACCGCAGGAACCACCCCCGAAGGACAGAGTTCCGGAACTTTTACAGCTAAACAAGTCCCTGCCTCGGGGTAGGTACTCAGAACGGCCCTGAAAAACTCCTGGCTGGGGCTTGGGGGTTACTTGGTGCTGATTGGATATACTCAAGGAGGGATGTGACGACAACAGAAAGCAACAAAATAGCCGGCATTTTTAAAACTCAGCAGACGAGGGTTAGCTCGTTCATAGCTTCCACCGCCATGTAAACAAACTCAATAACCGGTCCGTGAAAAAAATATCTTTTCCAGCGGATATCTTAGTTACAACATGATTGAGCTAGCAAAGCAGTTTTGTGTTGCTATGTGTGGTATTTATTCAGTTTTGGGAAATCACGATGTCTAGAAAGCAGCAGTGGCTGCAGCTGACAGGGACAGCTAACAGCAGCAGCAAAGCTAACATCAGGACGTCATCTGTTAAAAGCCTCCCGTTGTAGGAAACGACATGAAACTACTCCAGTTAGCTCAGTCATGTTGTAACTAAGACATCCGCTGGAAAAAATATTTTTTTCACGGGCCACTTTGTGAGTTTAGTGAGTTATTACAGACACCGCTATCGGCTAACGGCGTCTCTACGCCACTATGTCACCCCGGTCAAAATGGTCACGCAACAATTACGTCACATACAGAGCCCGGTAACTTTACAGGAACCTTCCTCCTACTCCGCTCTCTCAGTGGAGACACGGCGGTTGAGAGGGCCAAGCGAGAGGACGTTCCTGTAGTAGTTCCTGCCCCCTAAAAAGTACCAGGAACTTCTTCAGTGGAAACGGGCCTATTCTCAGTACATCCCAAACAGACAGCCCTTCCCATCGGTGCACTGATGAAAGTGAAACTTATTAATGCTCTCTTCAAAGCCATCAGTAATTTTACCTCACTGAACACGGGAGCTGCTGGTCTACTACTGCCTCAAACACTTAGTTTGTTTGTGTGACTTTGGTGTTAATTCAGATTCACCAAAGTCACGCAATAACACACACTAAATAACAGATCGAGGCAGAGGTAGACCAGCAGCTCCCCGTGTTCAGCGAGGTAAAATTACTGTTTTTCTGGATGTAGTCTGGCCTTGAAGAGAGCTTAGATAAGTTTCACTTTTAGCTCACAGTTGTAAGAGCTGCCTGCTTGGGAAGTAATGAGCAAACGACTGGATAAATGAGACTTGGAGTACACTGCACGAGTTGTGAGAGTTTGAAAACATATGCTGTTGTTGAACGCAGACCCCTGACTTCAATCCATCAAGAATTTTCTCCGTTTTAGAATCACTGTTCACCATGGCATGTGAGAGAAACCAAAATTTCTTCATGAATTCAACAAAACACAGGCTGAGTAACTGATATACAAACTGTCATTTGGAGTGTGAAATCTTCCTTTAACCTGCCACAAGCTTCAAAGTCGCTGACCTAAATTCAAACCGTGAAAAACTCTTAACAGTCTAGGGTTTGTGGTGTATGAGTACGTGGGAACCAACAGTTGCCACATTCACACATCTGTCCCCCATGCAGGCAGGCTGGTAGAGCAGTTACAGTCTGAAGTATTTTGGACCCTGGGTGTGAGTGCAGTGTGCTGTTGAAGTTGAGGTGACTGTGTCTGATGGTTGATACCTCCTATGATGAAACAACAGGTGTTTCTGTTGCAGCTGTCACAGCAGAAAACTGCAGAACAGAATAAAGCAAATCAAAATAGGATTGTGATTCCGCTAATCAAACTGAATAAAATGCATTGTGGTTAAAAAAAAATAAAATAAAAAAAAAATAGATGCATGAGGTACTACATAAAGGAAACGTGAATTCATCCCTTCACTAATTCTTAATTCATATGCCTCTAATCTTAACCATGTGTTTATATGAAATCTAGAAACAAAGCATAGTATTTTTAGAGCTTCAAAAAGCTAAAGTAGCAAGATAAATCCTGTGAAATCAGAAACCACTGTCGGTTAAAATCTCATTTCTTTCCTCTTGGAGGTACGTGTTACTACAGAGTCTCCACTGATTCAACAATCCTAGTTGAGACTGTGTTGTGCTTATCCTCCTTATACATTCCCATCATCGTCCTATGCTGATGTGCCTTCTTTTGTCCTCTCTGTGGCTTTTAGTCAGTGCGCCCTTTTCGATTTCTCTCCGTGTGAAAATAACAAACAGCCCATGAGAGTCCAGGAGGGTGAGAGGGTTAAAGGTCAGCCGACAGGAAGTCCATGGTTGATAGGAGGGAAATCTAAGGATGAGAAAAGGTGCTGGTGGGCTGAATCCCTGGAAGGAAAAAAGAGCACAAGGAGAGTAACGTGTGAGATAATATGCGTGCATTGTGCTTCCTGGTGTACAGTCATGATGTAAATATATGTAACCTTTGAACGGTGCAACTCAGATGTGTGTCTCTATGTCAGTATAGCCAGGCAGGATGTCTCCATTGGAGCAGCTCTTGGGCTCCTCCACTGGTGGGGCGGTGGGCAGCATGTGAGCAGTGGTGGATGTCTCCTCTGGTGACGCCGCTGCCTGGAGCCTGCGGTGTATCAGGGGCACAAAGAAGAGCACCACGCCCCCCACCATAAGAGGCACCCCGGCCAGGGAGAAGGCCACTGTGTAGTTCCCAAAGTAATCCCGTAGGAGACCTGGGCAGCGGAGACAGAGGGACACAGTTTATGTTATCAGTTGCAACCAGGGTCCAATTTAACAACCGCCAAGTGCCAAATGTGGGTAGATTTTCTGCTTGGCGAGTAAATCGCAGAAGGCTATCAGCTACACTGGCAGGGCAATGTGTGTACCAATATAGTCATGTGATAATTTAAAAAAAAAAAAAAAAAGCCTCGACCGCTTTTCCATGTTACTCACAGGCACAATTAAACATCGGATAGGTTTATAAAACCTTCAAATTTACTTTTATGTTTGATTCTTTACTTCATTTAAAAGCAAATACTTAGGTAGAATTTTAAGATCAAGACTTCTTAAGTTGTATTCAGACTTGTTTTACCGCTGATTAATGTATTAAAATAATTTTGCTTTAAAAGTTGCAAATTAATAATTACATAATATATAAATAATTAGCCTGCACCTTTGTTGGGGGGTCGGGAGAATCCTCCCTGGTACTGTTTTACAGGCTGAATCCCTGGTACAAGCTCTATTTTAATGCTTTTTTACGACAGTCTGGCACCTTATTTAGACTAAAAAAAAAAAAAAAAAAAAAAAACCAAAACAACCAAACCCAATGTGGATCAATTTATTTTTACTGTGAATTATAGGAAATGGTCGGCAGGCCACTGGGCACCCTACTGGGGCCACAGGTTGAGTATCACTGCCTCTGAATTGTACTGACACCAATGTATATGTGACACAAAAGCCAATTTATTATTTTCGCTGGTCAAAATTATACTTGTGCAGTGTATTTTTTCATCTTCCACTCCCCTGGTTACTAGCTGTTGCCGGTGGTTGTGGCTGAAAATAAACAAAAACATTACGTGGAAAAACTGATACATGTTTGAGCTTAGCTTCGTTTTAGAGGTGCTACTCGAGTGGGCATATTTTTACGTTTTAACGTTTTTACCATTTCCCCCACCTGCTCCGGGCTTTAATGCTAAGTTAGGCTAATAGCACCCTGGTTCCAGCTCTGTACTCATTACACAAGCATGAGTGGTATCAATGTTATCATGTAAGTATGGGAGAGAAAGCATGATGTCCGATTGCTCTAAAAAGAGCAACATAACAGCAGCTACAAATGTTATTTTTGCTGACCTCTTGTGGTTTAATGTCCCATTTTGCTGCAGGTTTGTTAAAGTGTCTTCCAGTGTGTGTCAGTACACTGTGACATCATCAGCACCGACTACAGTGACATTTCCTTAGCTTTGGCTGGCAGCTGTTATGACTTATTAATGCACTCCTGCCTGTTTGAAAGGGTCTTTACCTGCTTACATAAGTAGCAACAGCATTTCTGTGACATATTTCAGCAGTGGAGGTCAGCAAGGAAACTGTACTATTGTGATGAAACACAGCACTAAAACCTCTCCCTGTCTGCAGTACGTATGTCCACATTCTATATTTATCTGCATGCGAGCTAAGGCAAACAAGCTGTACCGACAGTGAGAAAACAAGGTCAACGAGTTTAACACACTGCACTACATGTTTAATCTACCGCTGGGCTTGTGACGTGGGAGCAACAGGAGGGGTGTGCAGTCACATTGTTGCCTGTACCATATGCATTCTTCCTCATGAACTGTACAGACTGTACAGAACAACATGGAGGTAATCACATTCAGACTTCTGAGGAGCATAGCTGCCTTTGTTTTGGGTGCAGAGTAAATGCAAGGCTTTTATTAAATAATAAACACAATGTAATAATTACATATAATATGTATATACTACACATTATAATAGTCTGCATCATGTCAGTTAATTTGTATACAGGAGATAACATCTACATCTGTGGTCAGCCAAAAGAACAATTTAAACCATATGCAACTATGCTGTGCTTTGTGTCTGAATGCAGGTCTTTGTGTGCAGACACAAAAAGTGCTATCAGTTGGGTGGTTAGTCTCCACATGCACTGGATGAGGTGGTAGTCACTGACAAAGGTAGACACTTTTCAGGCTAAAAATAAGTAGGAGCTGTTGAGAACAACAACAGGTGGCAAAAAGTAATTGCATCTTTTTTCTCAGCACAAAACTCTTCACAGTACATCCAGGCCTCGACCTGTATTGATCACATATATACGAATGCACCAGAACTTCGTCTAAAATCAGTATCGGTTCTGATAGGGTGCAGTGATCACAATCTTATTGCAGTTGTCAGGAAAGCAAAAATTAAAAAACCTGGACCTAAAGTGATAATGAAAAGATCATACAAAATGTTTAATGAGGAAAACTTTATTGAAGAAGTAAAGAAATTGAACTGGGAGGATGTGCTAAAGGAAAATAATCCAGATGAAGCTCTGTCCAGGTTTGATGAAATTTTTGTGCCTGTAATTAATAAGCATGCGCCTCTCAAAAAGTTCACAGTCAAGAATATTCAGTCACCCTGGCTAGACAATGAGACTAAAGAATACATGAGACAAAGAGATCAGTCGAAGAAAACCGCAATGACTACAGGTTATAGGGACGACTGGATCATATATCGTAAATTAAGAAACCATGTTACTAAATTAAATAGACTTAAAAAGAAATTATATTATGAAAACAGAATTAATAACATTAATAATGATGGCAAAAAAGTTTGGAAAACACTAAATGACCTACTGGGTAGAAACACTTTGGATACACCATCATTCTTGTAAGTAGATGGCAACTTCTTAACGAAGCCAAATGATATAGCAAACTATTTTAATACATATTTTTTAAATAAAGTTGAAAAATTAAAGGATAATTTGCCCTCTATTGACAGTAATGATCATATATCTGGCCTTTTAATAAAATATAGTATTATGAAGAATAAAGATTGTATATTTAGTTTTGATAATGTATGTATAAAAAAGGTTGAAGATATTATAAGAACTTGCAAAAACAAACTACCCGGTATTGATAATCTAGACAGCAAAATTTTGAAACCAGTTGCAGAGTTAGTTGCACCTTTGATCTGCCACATTATAAACACCAGCTTCAACAGAGGTCTATGTCCACAAAAATGGAAAACAGCCAAAATACTGCCACTGCTTAAAAACAGGAAAGAGCCATTTTCGGGTGCAAATAGTCATCCAATAAGTATACTGCCAGTATTATGTAAATGTATGGAAAGTATTATATATGAACAAACTATGAGTTACATGTTAGGCAATAATCTAATAACAGATTTTCAGCATGCATATAGAGAGGGGCACTCCACTGCCACAGCTTTAGCTCAGATGACGGATGACTGGCTCAGAGAAATTGATAAGAAGAACATGGTTGGTGCTGTTATGCTGGATTTCTCAGCAGCCTTTGACATAATTGACCACAACATATTGCTGAAAAAACTAGAATGTTATGGGTTTGATATGTTATCCTTGACATGGATTAAAAGCTATCTTACAGACAGGATGCAAACAGTTTTCTACAACGGTTGCTTTTCTGATGTGGGAGCTGTGACATGTGGGGTGCCACAGGGTAGTTGCTTGGGTCCATTACTATTTACTATTTTTACGAATGATCTGCCACAAATTTTGAACAGAGCCACTTTAGGAATGTACGCTGATGATTTGACCATATATGCCTCTGCATTTACAGCCAGAGAGCTAAATACAGTTTTAATCGAGGAGTTAAAAAAAGTTGAAGATTGGATAAATTGAAATAAATTAGTTTTGAATATATCAAAAATGAACTGCATGATATTAGGCTCAAATTTCAACATCAGGAATAACCCACAGTTAAATCTTAAAATAAAACAGGGCAGTATCAAGCAGGTGCAGGAGACCAAGCTGCTGGGAATAGTCATTGATGAAAAATTATCATGGAAAACACATATAAATAAGATAGTTAATAAAATGGGACATGGTATTTCTATAATACGAAGACACAGGGCATGCCTAACTCCAAAATCAACTAGACTAGTAATTCAAGCCTTAATTATATCAAATCTTGACTATTGCCCCGCAGTTTGGGTAAATGCAACTGCAGATATGATTGCAAAACTACAAAAAATACAAAACAGAGCTGCACACATTGTTCTTGGTTGTAATTTGATGTCAAGTGTCATTAAAATGCATATGAATCTTGGCTGGTTAATGGTTAGCGACAGATTAATTTATTCATTATTATTATTCATTAGAAATGTGACCATAACAAAGACTCCTCATGTATTATACCAAGAGCTATGCTACAGCGCTGATAACCATGAATATATCACTAGACATGCGGCTGGCGGATATTTTGCATTGCCAACTGTGAAATCTAATTAGGGTAAAAGAACTGTTATGTACAGAGGCATGTATGAGTGGAACTTGTTTCCCAGGCACATCACACAAACAAACAGCAAAAGAACATTCAAACTGTTAGTCAAACAACATCTCTTTAATCAGTATAAATGACAACTGTTGAACATAATAGCGTATACTTAAACAAGCAGGTTGCTGTAACTGATTGTTTGATGTGCTGGAATAATAATAATATATGAACATAATAATATATATATGAATTGTGGATTGCTTCTCAGACTTATTGTATCTGGCAATGACCTCAGTCAGTTTCTAAAATGTTGCAGTGCTCCTGTTGAAGTTGTGTTTTTGTGTTCTGTTTTGTTATTTTTATTTATTTGTAATTCTCTGCTTTCATGATTTGCTGAGTATTTTCGCATTTGGTATTTTCTTTTATTTAGTGGAGCCTTTTTGGTTCACTTTTATTGTGTTATGATTTGTACTGTTATTTTAAAATGTTGGCGGACCCCAGGAAGAATAGCTGCAGCCTTGCTGTAGCTAATGGGGATCCTAATAAACAATAAACAATAATAAACAGTCTAAAGGTTTCTGCTGCACGTACTGCATCACACATTTCCAAATGTGAACAGCAGCTATATTATCAAAATGATCAAAGTCTGAAACTAGCATATTGTTAGAATTTATGTATGTATGCCTTTGAAAATACAGAACATTTCATCCACAAATAACTGCTTAGATTGTATAAAGAGAACAAAAGAAAAATATATACACTACAAAACTGAGAAATGACCACAGAAAACTCCCACAGCCTGGAATAATTCTAACAGTTAACTAATCCACTGTTCCCTGATCCCTACACATAGCTTTGGATATGTAATTAATACACATCAGTATATTGCTTTCTCCAAAGACATAATCTAAAACAGAAATTGGAATTCTGAAATTGTGCCATGCCATTGTTCATGAAACCCAAGTCCAAAAAATGTCCCACTGGACCGAAAGCCCACTAGACCGAAAGCCCACTGTCCGACGGCCTGTTATCCAAAAAACAAATGTCCATTTCTCCGAAAATGAACAATTTCCTTGCAGTTAAGAGATTCATTGCATCAAATCAGTCGGCCCAGCCTCCTAATGTTTCAGACCCTCTTTACCCTGGTTGACTTGGATCATGTGGGTATGTATATATGGCTATCGGACAATGACGTCCGCTAACATACCAACTACACTGGGCTACTCCGAACATCAGACCTCCAATCTGACAAATAGGGCTGGGTATCATTTTAAAAATTATGATACCAGTGTCAGTATCAGTACCCTTAAAGTTGTACTGATACCAATAAAGTACTTCATTCTAAACCCATAGCCATACTTTTTGAAGTTTTAGTGGCATCTCGGCACGCTGAACTGCCAACTCTGCCATTATACTAAGCCATAATATCACTGCTGCATGGAACGCTATATAATAACAACAGGGCAATAGGTTTGTCAGGACTGTGAGTCTGACAGCCTTGCTTCTGCAATATTTTTTCCTACTAAGATGAAGGCATGACGCGCCCTACTCTACCTCTGATTGCCTAACCCTGAAACTCTTACCCTGAAGCAACTTCACTCCTCAATCCTAAACCGAACCAACCCAACCAATGAAGGCAGCAAGTACTAGCCAATCAGGTCCAATATGTCTTTTCTGAATAATAATTAGCCATGTGATTCTGTTTATAGAGTGTGTATTTTCCGAGTAATGGCCTATTGTTTTCTGTCTGGCTGTCGGACAAATGGACAATCAGTCCATTCGGACATTTTTCGGAGTACTGGGGTCTCTAAATAATGGGCTGCCACAAACAATGGGCTGTCATTGACTTTGACAACTCATGTGATTTATTTTCATTGCAGTCATGGGGTCTCATTTATAAACATAGCGAACACACAAAACCAGGCTTGAAAGAGGCGTACACCACTTCTAATGTAAAAGTTGTTACCTTTAAAAACAGACTTGATGGGAGAAACTGCTTACGAACATTTTGGAGATGGGAAATTGGCAACGCAGATGGTGAGATGGAAGCCTAATTGTAGAAACTGTTGAATATCTTTTGGTGCACAACATTTTTTAGCTTTTGACTATACATATATATTTAGTATGCATCCTACACACTGTTTTATAAATGAGACCCCTGAAGTCTAGGCTAGGGGGCACTGTTAGGGTTGGGCATTCGAAGGGGGATGACATGTATCTGCTACTAATATCCCATTTTTATACTAGTATATTTAATCAAAGATCAATCAATATTATACAGTCATAAAAGAAAAAAAAACCCACACAAATTCAAAAAGCAGTCCAAAACTTAGAGCTGCCATAGAAAGGATGTTTCATTGCACGTGATTACCCAGCATTCATTTTATTAGTTGTTTTTAAAACTATTCAGTGATTTAGAATGGGCATATTTAATCTTGTTTGGAATTTCATTCCCCTTTTCTTTAGAGGAATGTGCTTCTCCCTACTTTGCTTTTCAGATTGGTTTATTTCAGGTTAGAGACACTAGCCCTTATATTCAGGCCATGAGAGTTCCGAACATAAAGAAAATACCAGATATCAAAAACTCGCACACAGAGCTTGTAAAATCTTGCTCACTATTCTGCGTTCAACAGGGAGCCAGTTCAGCTCTTTAAAATGGTTTGGGCTATTATGTGTTCTTGGACTGAGATTAAAACGACCCTCATTAGTTTGTTCTGAGCTTTTCAAAGCTACTCTTTTGACTTTTTTAGTGATCCCACTGTAGCAGGTTATACAGGTGAAATTCCAGTGGCTTTAGACTAATGATGAAGCTACTGTCCCCATGGGTTCCTCGTCAAAGAACTTCAATACTCTTGCCATGTGACATTGGGCTTTTTGTTTGTTTTGTTTTGAGCTTGTGAAATTCAATTTGGACAAATATCTCAAACCATTAATAAAAACCTTCTGGCATGCTGAGCTGTGGCCACAAAAGGGAGGCAGAGTGTTTTCTAGTAAAAGCAGTTGAAGTTTGTGTGAGATCTGAAAGAAGTTGGCAAGAGAGAGCAGGAGTATGCCTGAGTCATCAAATTAATGGTCTGCCTTCAGTGCTCTTCTATACGCTCGTGTTATGAGAGTTGAGAGAAGAGGACAAAGGGAGGAGGAAGAGGAGACATAAGGGGAGCTGAGCACTGAGATCTGACCCTGTATGTGCTTTTTTCCCCTGAAGACAAATCTCTAGAGACAGCCTGCAGTTGGCCACGAGCCCAAACCTCTCTACAGTAAATACAATCCGCTGTACAATTTATCCTCCGCTGCATTGGTCTCACTCTCCCTTCGCTCCGTACATACACTTTTACTCTATCAATCAGCTTGTTTTGTGCTGTTACTGCCAACATCTTTGAGTTATACTGTATAAATCAGCATTATGTTTTGCTTCTCACCAGCGATGGGTGGACCCGCAGTCATGGGAAGAGACATAAGGCCTAGTATGTAGCCTATGGCCTGCGAGGCCTGCATGGGCCCAACCAGCTCGAACGCTATAGGCGCCATCATGGTGAGGAAGCAGCCGTCACACAGCCCCAGGAACACGCACACAGCCACCAGCCCCTCAAACACTGAACACTGAGGGATCAGTATGGACATCAGGCCCAAAGCAAAGAAGGACGCCACCTGAAACAGACACAACAGAATATAAAGCCTTTATTGTCAATACACAGAATACAACGAAAGTAAGAGCCTGATACAGATCAGTGCAATAAAAAGACAAAGAAAAACACTGCAGAAACAAAACTTCAGCAAACAAACATCCACAGCCGTAAGAATCTTTTGTTACCTAAGAATGAGCCGTTTATATTGACATAAAGAGTGGGTCCTCATTCATGGAGTCCGCCATGTTGCAGCGCCATGTTTCTACAGTAGCCCAGACTAGACAAACCAAACACTGGCTCTAGACAGGCTGTTCGCGTTTTCACATTGGCCACCATAGTTCGCAGATAATTTAGCTCCCAGTAAAAACCCAGTTGGCTGAACTATGTTAATATGTAGAAAATACACCATTCAACCACTAATTTGCGAACCTGGAGGGAATTTTCATGAAAGAATCTCATTCTTTTCTTTATTACACCAAAACTGAAAAGCAAGCATCTCCATAGTTGCAAGACATGTTGGTGAGAGAGCGGGTCTTTTGATGTTGACCACTCTCATGTTTTTTGGAAATGTCAGAACATAACTGCATTTTGGGAAATGTTATGAGCTTATGCACACACTAGGATATAAGGTTTGTAGCAGTTTCTGAAGAAAATTTTATTGCTAGTGATTAATATTCGATCAAAATATTGCTAGTAGTAAGCAAGAAAGCTGTCATGAGACGACAAGAAGCACAACTAGAGAGAAAATGGGGAGAATGGACTCTACACAAGACTCAAAAAGATGACACTGGACTGGATTAATAATCAATAGATACACTAATCCTTAAGGTTGTTAAAATGTGTATTTACCCAAGCAGTTTTTGTTTCTTTAGCTCTTATTATTTTCCAATTATTTCATTTTCTTTATTATGCTATTGTGTCACAAAAACACGTCTTCAGATGTTGATATTTGGTTGACTTTAGGTTGTGGTGTCAGGTGAACAAAATTCTATGTCAGGACAACATCTACTACAGAAAACTGACAACAAATGACGTTGATATGTTGTCGGTTTTAAGTTGTGTTAAATAACCAAAATTCGATGCCTTTTAAATGCGTCATGCCAACTTCATCCTGACTTAGCATAATAACCTTTAGTCTTTCGGTATGGAGAGCAAAACTTTGAATTGGTAACACCCACAGAACGTGAATTTTTACCATCATTAGACATTTAAAACATCGTCAACCCAATTTTCTTTCCAACTAAAATTTAATGCCTGTCCGATGTAAGAGTCCGATGTCTTTCTGACGTAACACTGACATCCCGTGCTGGCTGGGAACCTCCTGGATGTCTGGATCTTAAATTCTCAGAAAGAAAAAGGTTGAGCACACATTAGCAGGTTCTTGGCAAGCGGCCAGCCTGTGACAAGTCAAACAGCATCAGAGAAACACTGATTTTTTTTAATGTGAACCTGCTCCATTCAGTGTTTTTACCGATTTAAATCACCTTGTATGTTTGTCTGGGAGATGAAGAGACCTCTGTGGATAATTTGGCTCCCAGTGAAAAATCTCAACAATGAAACTAAAGAAGCTCTAACCAGAAGTTTTAGATAGTTGCAATCTGTACTCCTCACCGCTAGACGCCACTGAACCCCCCTAAATCTTACACACTGTACCTTTAAGCTTTAAGTCTCCATAATGTGTAGGGATGCACCGAATATTTGGTAACCGAATATATTCGGCCGAATATTGCAAAAAAACACACACTCAGTATTAGGTGGAATAAGTTAAAAGCAAGGCCGAATAATAGCGGCGTGTTTTGATAATGCAATCAAACAGCGTGCCGTGACGGGCGGAGTAAAATGTCGGCAGTGTGGCGATCCGTCCGTCACCGCACTCGCATTTGCAACTAAAAATAGTTTTGAGCGAGCAAAATAGGCTTAAATCATTCAGCACGCTGTGCGAGCAGCCTACAGATTTCAACCAGCAGCAGAAACGAAAGGCGAATCCCACCGATTGTGGGTTGAACGGGGGTCACAGACACAGACAGTAATGTATTCCTGTCAAAAACGGCGGCCATCGGCTTACCAGCGATGGAGAAGTCGTCTCCAATAATATCCTCTTCTTGGCGTGTGGACTGCCCAGAAGTACCTGAACAGCCGAGCCAGCCGAACACAGACCGTACGTGATGTGTCAGAGGAGAAACGAGCCGTTCACGGTCCACAAACCTCACCACCCTTTAGGGACTGTTCTTTACTTATGAAGGGGAGGAGGGTGGCTGGTTGATTCTTATTTTATTTATTTATTGTATTTTGATCCCCCTATGTTCATCACTCATTGATGCTGTTTTTGAAGTATGAATAAGTCAATAAGTAATTTATTCCATTAAAATATCATTGATGTATTATAGAAAAGTGATTTATCTTTTTATAAATGACAAAAGGCACATCTGCCTCATTTTCGCTGTGGTATCATGATACTACTCAGAACCATGATATTTTCATTGGTATTGTACAGTGGGTCCCAATATTGGTACCCTGACAACACTAATCTGGAGGAGGTTCATCTGCAAAAACTAATGAAAAACTAAACAACAATATTCGGTATTCGGTACTCGGTATTCGGCCAAGCGTTTAATATTATTCGGCTTCGGCTTCGGCCACAAATTTTCATTTCAGTGCATCCCTAATTATGTGTTTTCTAAAGGACATGGCTGCCTGTTTACGGGCCATAGCTGCAGTAAGTGTTTGCTTTGTTTCTAGTGTTTGATTTCTTCACTGCCAACAGACACACTGATGGCAGGTGTGGGGAGACTGTATGGACTGTTATTAGTTGGCTCAGTTTCTATGCTTGTTGTGCTCGTACATGGAGAACAGGCCCCCAGGCCCTCTGATGTAATGGTGAACATTTTGTTACTTGTGCGACAGAATGCACCCTCCAGCTACTGTTAGGACTTGATATAAACCTACATATTTCAGTCAGGAAAAAATGTGATAAAGATAAACTGATTTGCCCGTGAACAGCTTGCTACACAGAGGGGGATCTGAGCGCTGAAAACCAAAAGCTGAAAATATTTTTCCACCATTAAATGGACTTAAATGTTACAAAATAGGTAGCTGCCATTTTCCACTATATTTGTAAAGATTTAGATCGAATGTGTGGCTTTTGTTCCCTGTAAGCATGACTGGCTGAAAGTTATGTGCAGATTACAACTGAGATAAAGGAATATAAAGCTAAAGAATTTCTAAACCTCTCAATCGCACCATCTGTTCTATAGGCTGAGCGAGGAATTTAGGTCTGTGCTGTGTGTTTTTGTTAGCAGCTGCTGCCTGTTTGTTCAGATCTAAACAGTCGGCTTATGCGGTTGCATTACACTGAGCCCAGAGAGTTCATAAGTTTAATACTGTAAACTGTGAAGGAAGGTATTGTGCCTTAACAATGAACTGAAGTGTTACCTTGAAACCCTTTACAATTACCACATTGTACAAGAAAGCAACTCTTAAAAATACACTGGATAAAAAAACAACAACAAACATTTCCATCTATAAAAGACTCCAGTGTGTGTTTCTGTATGAGGAAAAACCTTTTCTCTGCACAGTATAAATGTCCTGTTGTGCTAAAGCAGCATTAGAAAAATATATATTTTAGAGGCGTCGGTAGCGTAGTGGATAGTGCCGGCGCCCCATGTACAGAGGCGATCCCTCGCTGCAGCGGTCGCAGGTTCAACTCCGGCTTGCAACCCTTTGCTGCATGTCAACCCCAGCAGCCCCACTCTCTCTCTCACCCCATTTCAATTTGTCCTGCCAATTAAAGGCAAAAAGGCCCAAAAAAAAAATAATCTCTGAAGAAAAATAGATATTTTGAGTATTTATATCTGCACAGTTTCAGCATGCATCTCACGTCCATCTATGACTAAGTGTCCCTACGCTGAACAACACAACATGCAGACTGGGTGTGGTGGTTCTGGATGACACATCCTATGGATCAACCGTGAGTTTGCATTCAGCAGGAGCTACTTACACACCAGCAAGAAATGTCAGATCCTGTTTGTATTCACCTCTCACAACCGCTCTGAACTGCTGTGCTTCCATTTTCTCAGCACTGAATCATCGCCACTGCTATTATCCAAGCGAGTAATTCTTTTGGCAACACAAAAGCTTTTTATTCTGGTACTTTAAATATGTGCAAATTAGCATCTGCGTCATGCTTACCTGCAGCCTATATGCCATTAAAGACAGACTATGAATCACGCTGATTGCAAATTAATAGTGACACTACATCATGCTTTTGACAGAATAGAGCCTCAAAACACAACTGTTTATTTTGAACACTTAGTCTTCTCTTCAGGTAAAGGGTGATGTGGAGACTTTAATGTAAAATGTTAGTTCTAATAACACATTCTTACTTAACAAGCTATCATAAGAATGTAATTATACAGGAATGTTTATTGCAGTGATCATAAAGCGTCGGAATTTAGAAATGAGACATCATTTACTGTTGACTCAACCCAGTCGCCATGAAAAATGTGCATTTTCATAACCCACAGATGCATTACTTTTATACATCATTTTGTAGCAGATACGCTGAAACTTCTCAACAACGCTGTGGTGGATATGTTATTAGGTTTAGGCACAAAAGTTAATTGGCTACTGTTAGGAAAATATCACGTTTAATGTTAAAACACCCACGTTTGGTAGCACAAAAGGCACAGGTCAGAGAAAAACACCCAGGTTCAGGGGCTCAAACCGCTGCTGGGAAACGCTGCGATGCGTTGGTGAAAAACACCCAGGTTATGTGACTCAAACAACGCAGGGAAACGCAACAATGTGTCAGTGATAAACACTGAGGTTTTGGTGGCTCAAATGGTGCTGGAAAACAAGGAAATGCTGCTTCACACTGGTTAGAAACAGCCAGATTCAAGTGCTCAAATGCAGCTGGGAAACTCAGCGATGTGTCAGTGAAAAGCAACAGGGTTATGTGGTTCAAACAACACTGTGAAATACAACAATTTGACGATGAAAAACACCCAGGTTCAGTGGCTCAAACTTTACTGGGAAATGCAATGATGTGTTGGTGAAAAACACACAGGTTTTGGTGGCTCAAATGATGCTAGGAAATGGCAGGATGTTTTGGTGAAAACACCCGTGTTCTTGGTTTTGAACAGTGGTCTGCATCCATCATCCTCTTAACCTCCCAGTGACATAAGTTATGTATTACATTACTTTAGAAATGTTGATATGATACATATTAAACAAATGTAATGTATTTGTGGTTTGCAGCAACATATATTTTGACTGACTGTAAAACAGTACAGTTAATCCTTAAAATTAAACCAGTTTCAATCACGACTCAACGCTCCACACCCACATACCACTTTTAACTTCATGAGTTTTAACTGAAACATGCAAACCATAAAAGAAAAAATGACCTGCCCACATTTCATGTCTTCAGGCACTTCCTTACCTGCATGTAGATCTTTTTAAGACCAGGAATGTGGTCTCCGATCTTGCCGAAAGCGAGGCGTCCCACCCCGGATGAAGCTCCGATGCAAACCAGGAGCATCCATTCCTTCTGGGTCCCCTTGAACTGCTCCTTCACAAAGTTCATCTGAAACACAGAGAGAAGAAGAGACACAGTGCTGCGTTAGCTTTGGCTGTGATTAGATGTGATGGTGCTGCACGAGAAACTCACTTCAGATGCCACCAATGATGAATGAGCTGACAAATATATCACACAACCTACAGGTGAACTTTCTCATATGTTTTTGTGCTTCATGCCAAAGAATTCAATGAACGCTGCAAATGGGTGTGCATTTGGTGGGATGGAGGAATTGTCCATCCATATCCCCAAAGCTGAGGTCTAACAATAACAAAATGTCTTCATCCACAGACCTTCGGAACAGCAGGACAGGAAGACCCAACGCATATAGGTCAGACCCTCCCACTCCCCTCAGCCCTGAGCCCCCAAATCAGATCCAAAACATTAAACCGCCCTCTGAAGTCTTTTCCTGAACTTGTGAAATATTTGCTCTGCTTTGAAGGGCTCTACATTCATCAATGGCCATAGGATAGGCATGTTTAGGGATACAGAGAGGCCATACAGGAGAGGTTTCCTGAGGTGGTCGAGCCAATACAAAGACCGGGGCTGTGTTTACATCTGGGCCCTGGCCTGAAACAACAGGCCTGACAGAGGGAGGCCGGAGCTGGAACATCCGACATCTGGATAGAGGGAGATCAACTTCACAACTAAACGCTGAAGCTTTACACTTCATCATCATCATTCACTATCTCACTATCTCACACCAAAGTCGGCCAAAGGTCATGTGCCGAATTTTCAAATATACTATACGCAAAATTACTGTGCTTTGACTTGGAGGTGATTTGACTTCTTTCTTCATCATGGTGTTATGAAAGTCCAACAGAAATCATGCCACATTTCCACTGCATGATATGGCTCGGCTCTGCTTAACTCAACCTGCTCAAATTCAAACTCAAAGAGGCTTTATTGGCATGGCCATTTTGAAACATAGTATTGCTAAAGCAGTTTGTACAAGGGGGTATAAACAGGTACAGTTATTATATTAGCCAAAGTTGTGGGTAGCACCTGGTACGTTTTTTTGTACTACCTTGGTCGAGGTTCCAAGCGAGCTGGAAGGTGGATTTAAAACCACAGACATATAATCACAGTTAAACAGACATTTCCATTCAAATCAATGTGGCACGATGGTCAGAGCAGCAGCATTTTGATGTGTATTATTACAACCGATAACTGACAAACCGACTCGCAGCAAACTGCGAACTCACTGATGTGAGGTTTTGCAGTAACGAACCAAGGAGCAGAGGAGTAGTACGTTTTCAAATAAGCAATATCTTTCTGTTCTTTCCCTGTTTCTTTTCCTGCCATTAAATGCATGTTTGTTGAAACATGATGTCACGCTACTGTAGCCACCTCCGAAGAACGAGTGAGAGTCACTGCTCAGCAGACAGCTGAGAGGCAAACAGCGCAGGGATAAACAGTGAGCAGATCAGCACATTTTAAAATATAATTCTGTGAATTAAGAATATATTCCAACCAAACAGGAGCTGGTGATTGTTGGAACAATGGACGAACTAACTACACTAACTACTATGACTTACAAGACTGACTATGACTGTTTTGGTGAGTTTTATTTTGTTTTAAAAGAGCTTGAATTGAGTGTATTTTACAATGAGCTAGTTTGGTGAGAAAGAGAAACTTTTATAAAAAAAAATAATTTAAAAAAAAAAATTAAATAAATTTTTATTTATTTATGTATTTATTTTTAATTTTTCATTTATTTTATTATTTATTAATTCATTTATTAATTTTTCTATTCATTTATTTATTTTTTCCTTTTATACTTGTATGTATATATGTGCGTGTGGGTAAATATATATATTTTTCTATTTTATTTTATTTTATTAATTTACTTTTTTTATTCTTTCTGTGTATAGTCGAGTTTTTAATACATTTGTATATGTTCTGCTATCCTACATTGGTATTTGAAGATGTTGTGATTTGTACAATACTCACTGGACAGGTCATTGTGATTTAAGAGTCAGGCCTCTGCTCCTCACAGTTGATCTCATCTAATTAGTGGCACCAGCTGACTGATTCATCACACCTGGTGGTAATCTGTCTGTGTCTATATCTGTTCTGTGGAGCACATGTCAGTAGCATCGATGATAGTGAAGGATTGAAGTGTTTGCTGCTGTATTAAATCACTGCACTTTGAGCACCCTTCTTTTTGTGCACGGATGTTCTGAATAAATTGACATTCGATTGACAATTGACAAACGTCCTTTTCTTTTCAAAGAGTGAAATGACCACGGCAAACAGTTAAATGTCCTTTCAACCCATTTTATCCACTGCAGACCACTGATTGGTCTGGGAGTATGCATACTTGTGCAACACAGTGAATCCTGCACAAACCTGCTGCTGTTCAATCAAGTTAATGTCTATAGTGACTGCAATTTTTTCATTTCCTTGACCTAGATTTTTAAAAATGGCAGGCCACAAAACTACAGCCAACACTATGTACACTACGCTGTACAACTGAGATTCATAGTGCAGACACTCCTCTGTTTGTTTGCAGATGAAAGCTGATGTAAGCATTCAGCGAGTGTCACATCAAAGATGATATCAAAGCATTTGGCTACAGCGATCAGCTGAAAATCCTCCTGACACTGAGAGGGTACTATCATCACTGGGAAACAAAATAGATCAAAGGACCTGGTACCCAAACTGATTTGAGTCGATTTGAGCTGAACCATGCAGTGGAAATGAGGCATAAGTAAAGTTATTAACTAATCTAAGTTGTTTTGTAAGGTGTGAGGCTCTTGCCTTGTGTAGCAGGCTGATATCTACTTAAGACAGAACCATGATGTAACTGCTTCACACAAATATGGTTTAAAATGAAGCGTTTCAACAGACGTCAGAGATGTGATTATACAACTCAGACTAATCAACATCCTAATGCTGTTTATGTAACCCTATAATATCAATAAAGAGGTCAGGATTTTTACATTTTCACAGTTACATAACAAATGCGAGAATGTTGCGGTATGAATTTCATATTAGATAATGTTTAGGTACTACTGTGAATGAATGACTGCTGAGTAAACAAAGCTAAATGTCAACATGCAATTTCCCACTAACATCTATTGAATATTAACAAAATGTGACAAAACTGATTCTAGGCAGGAGCAAGCACACATTGGCACTTATAATTTGACTACAAACATGCTGATTATTGTTCTTACCAGATGGATGTACGGCACAAAGTAGCCAAGCACTGCCGTGGCTACTCCAAACGCCCACACCCGGTATGTCACGATGTGAAACACACGCAGGTTGAAGTACTTCCTGACCCCACTCAGGACCCTGCTCCACTTGCTCCCCCCCTGACCAGTGGCCCCTGGCTGGGTTTGGGGTTTGGCAGGACCAGGACCCATGCCAGGTGGTCCCATGCCTCCTCCGGCAGGCAGTAAAGGCTTGAACATCAGCGCCAGCAGGGCCTGGACCAGCATGAAGAGGCTGAGGATCTGGAAGGTCCTGCTGAGGCCTAGAGGTCCCACCACCTTTTTGAGAAAAACTGGGAGGCCCATGGAGAAGAGGCTGGCACCTGCCGTCACCACGCCGTTGGCCAGGCCCAGGCGCTGGCGGAAGTAGTGGCCGAGAATGACCAACGAGGGCTGGAAGGCGAAGGAGGAGCCACAGCCAAACAGTATGCCATATGTGAAATAGCGAAGGCTCAGGGAGCTGCAACAGAGAAGTAATGATGTGGTAATTATTTGATCATGTGCTTTGCTTAATTATTCAATAAACTGAGACTCAAAGGATAAAGGATTCTTTATTGTCATTCCAGCCGTGCAAATACATGAAAAGAACAGGTCGTGATGATCTTTAATAATTAACATTATGATAAAACACTAAGTCACAAATGGTGTATAGACCATAAAGAGCCTTAAGGCAAATCTGTGGTTTGTGTGACTGGGCTGTATAGATAAAACTGACTTGACTTTTTTATAGAAACAAGCAATAAAGAGATGACTAGACTCATTTATTAAAAGGCTTGTAGTTAAACAAAGATTGGCTGTTCTGACTGTTCATATCAGATTTTTGTAGATAATAAAACACCCAAAGTTGAGACATCTTCCTAAAAATCTGTGGGAGTGTGAAAATATTGCCAAGTGTTCCCAGATAAGGAGGTAATGTACTGAACTGAACAATAAAAAGCCCCTCAGATGCTGAGTATGACTTATTGCATGACTATAATGATTTAGTGAGCCTGTGTCATTGAAACTGAGCTAAGCAGTTTCATATTACTGTATGTAGCACTAAGATTTGGTTCTTGTCATAGCAACGCTGAATGTGTTTAATTTGAGTATTCCTAACACAAATTCTATGGAAGTTATATGCCTAAGGCTCCTCATACTGCAGCTGCAGTGAGACTTGAACAAGTTTAGCAGTTAAGCAACTGTTTGTCTGGAGGGAAAAAGAAAGAAAGAAGGAAAAGCCGATGTTTGACAAACCCTGAAGTGTGAACAAGATTTACTGCTGTTCTGAAAGCATTTTCAGAATAGAAAAAGAGACTTCCCAAACTGTGACGGTTTTTCCTAATCCAAACAAAAGATGGTATGCCTTCTCTTTTTCACAATGTGAACCAAAATTTAAAACTTCTGTTTTCAGCTATATTTGTCTATAATGACGGACATGTTAATGCAGTGATACTCCAGCGATAAGGTGCCAGGTGGCCCACCACCCATTGTCAAATTCACAATGCAGGCCCTGCGCTAGTCCATCATGGTGAAGAGGGAGCTGAGCCAAAAGGCTAAGCTTTCAATTTACTGGTCCATCTACGTCCCAACCCTCACCTATGGTCATGAGCTCTGGGTGGTGACCGAAAGAATGAGAATGCAGATTCAAGCAGCCGAAATGGAGCTCGGATATCTGGAGGGAGCTCAGAGTAGAGCTGCTGCTCCTTCACATCGAAAGGGGCCAGTTGAGGTGGTTAGGGCATCTGATCAGGGCACCTCCTGTTGGGAGGTGTTTCGGGCACGTCCCACTGGTAGAAGGCCCCGGGGCAGACCCAGAACAAGCTAGAGGGATTACATATCACATCTGGCCTGGGGACGCCTTGAGGTCCCCCCGGAGGAGCTGGAAAGCGTTGCTGGGGAGAGGGACGTCTGGGGTGTTTTGCTTGGCCTGCTATCCCCGCAACCAGGCCCCGGATAAGGCGATGACATTGAATGGATGGACGGACAATGAAAATAAACTAATTCTATGGTAATGTTTTTGTAATTTGAATGTTAATAATGTGTCAGAGTGCTTAAGAAATCAAAATGGAGCTTGTTTAAAAAAAAATACAAATTAAAACACAAAGAGAGGATCCCCAAGACCTCCTGACACAGGTAGTGGCTAAACTCTGAATATCCTCAAACCCTAGAAACAACTCTGCACACACCTGACCTGCATGCGGTTGTTGCATCTGGAATTGCCTCTTGGCAAAGATGATAAAGGACTGCAAACGTTAAAAGGTTAAAAACAGGCAATGAATTAATTATGTTTGTTCATTAACTGGCCTCCCGTCATTTTGGAGACGGGCAAAGCAAGTTGAGAATCCCTTGGGCAAACAATTATTTTTTTAACCAGATTATTCAACATATCTTTATACAACAGTTCCTATGATATTTTACGAACTAGTGCATCAACTAGTTAGGTTCAATTTAGGAAAACAGTCATGGTTGGGCATTGTCACGGTATACCTACTTAAAGTAACATGATGATATGATGTGACATGTCACTATGTACATAAGTAACTTGAAGCAGTCTTCTTGGTCAAAAGGCCAAGTTTGTTTGTCTGACCCAATCACTACCTTGACCGCCTCCTTAAGCAGACTTTGTCGTTCTTTATACATCGCCTGACTTCATCCTTTCCTCCCGGCAGTCTGCAGTGCATTTAGGTCAAGGAATCACAGCCTCCTGGCTCATGATAACACAGATTATATACAAATTATAGTGCATTAACTTTTGTAGGTATAAGTAGATCAGTGAATGAGGACAGCCTGGTTTGTTGAAGAAGACTTTAAAGATTCCCTCAGGATAGCTCTAAGTGTTGTTAAATGGACCTCTGGGCTTTTCAAACATCACGGGGTATTTATTTTTCAGAAAAGCAAATGCTTTGCTCTGTGACAAACATGTAATGATAATACCAGAGGCATAAATGTATGGAGGAACTCAAGTAAAATTAAAAATAATGCCATTTGCTATTAATGCTTTTGAAAAGGCAAACCCATCTTTGTCATGTCTTTTCCTCTTCTTCTTCTTCTTTTAAATTAAATTAGTCATCAGCAATCTCCAACAAATTATATACTTGCTCTACATACAATGTCAAGTCTCTGTTTGATCATGTGTCGAGACGAGATGACATACAGTAGCTAGCGTGCACGAGTGCCTGTCATAGTAGTGTGCACTGGGGCTCGTCGTAACTGCCTTACATTAGTAATACATTAGAAGCACAAACTGGTGGTAGTGATGTCTTAAATAATAAATGTGCTGTAGCTTACTTTGCAAAGGATGTACTGAGCAGTCCTATAAAAGCCACCGCTGCCCCGCTGACGGCTGTCTTTCTGCAGCCGAAGTGGTCCGTGAACATGCTGACCACAGGTGAACAGAAGAAGATCATGCCCATGGCCAGAGCTCCGACCCAGGCTGCAGAGGAAATGGAGAGGAGAAGAAAGTCATTGTCAGAAACATGAGGAAACCCTGAATGTTGCAGCTACCACCTAAAGAAAAGACCTGTTTATACACCAAACAAGGATCAGAGTTCGTGTAACATAAAACGTGTGCTGTAAATCAATATGTGATAGATACACCGGATACAATACGGAGCAGTACAAGTGATGTACAGTAAAAAATAATGAGGATACATGTGTTTCCTTTCCTGTATGGAAACAATACACCGGCTCATTTTAACACTCATAATCATTCAACAGTTACTGCAGTTCCCACGTCATACACAGCTGGAGAATTTCCCTCGGAGCTACTGTTACATTGAGGTGTACATCACTCAACATGAGGATAGAAAAAAAGCTCTTATAGGAGAAAGACGAGAAAACAGAAAATCAATTATAATATGTCCTTTGTTTACATTTGGTTACTGTATGAACAATGTACCAGCTGTGATCTCAATGGAGGCCACAGTCAGATGCAAACTTATTGAATCTTGTTCTTTCATTGTCTTGTAGGCATTTCATGACTCAGACAACATGAATACATTAAAGTCATGTAAATGTCATGTTTGCAAAAGCTTTAAAAAAACTAAAAATCCTTTGTGCGCACTGGGTTTTCTTTGAAATGTTTCTCTCTCCACGACCCTCCGCCATCTGATGTGATTTGCTATTATTATAAATTTATGTAACTCTTCTCCTTATTGTGTCTTTGCTTGCATCGTGTACATCAGACACGCTCCATAAGATTTCTCATGGTGATTAAGCAGATCAAAAAGTGGATCAAAGTGGACCGATCTGGCCTGTGGTGTAATATCAATCCAGTGTTAAAACATAACGAGCCAGAATGATCCGACAGAGACACTGCGTACCCTGGAGTGCAAACAAACAAATGTCTGGGCCCAGTCTCCCAGGGAGCAAAGGTAGCTTTAATGTCTACCGTGGTGTCTGGGCTGTAGGTCACACTGATCCAACAGCTCAATGGGAATGAGACCAGAGAGGCCGATAAACAGGTGGATGGACTGATTTTACCTACCTACACACAAGTACATGCACACACACACACACACACACACACACACACACACACACACACACACGCTCAAGTTCAGTGTGAAACATGAGCTCTAGCACTGTACAAACACAGTCTTGTGAGGCTTGATCCAAACATTCTGTAAGATAAATCTGCTGGTACACAGTGTACACTACAAAGTCAGATTTTGTATAGTTTGAGGGTGGGACTGCACCCGAGCCTTCCTACAGTTTATTTATCCAAAAGGAACAAGAGAGGGGGAATTCTCCTATTTAACATGTACTTCATGAACTCCCACCATTTTGTAACTTCCCTGACAAAATGTTTAATGTTTCACCTTGAGGCGAAACACTGACAAAAAACACTTAATTGCTCTTGGCAAAAGCTTTTCATATCATATCTCAAGACATACAGCAGTGCCTGGTTGCATAAAACCACTTATGCTAAGGTTACCCTTCAATTTCCATCTAAGTATGCCTGAGAAAAAAATGTGCTGCATAAATTCACATAAGGATTTCCTTAGGATATTGAAAGGGAAAACCCTTTGATCTCTTAATGTTTGCCCTTAGCTACTTAAGTATTCCCTTATCAAAGAAGGTCCTTAGTCACCATTTCCCTCACACACCTTTAAAGGGATCCATACCCTTGTCTTAAAAGTTAAATAATGTGTGAAGCATAAGACAAAAGCTGAATTTATGCGGATATTTGTAGACAATACAGAACTGCATATCAGTGGGTACAATAGAAAAGTAGGCCTGATGGTAGAATATACAACAGAGACGGAAATCAATGGCAAAGCTGCACAGGATCAGATTAACCGACTTTACTTAATAAGCCAAAGAGTTTGGCTTCCTGTGAGCACCTTACACTTGCCCCATATTGCACCACTGATCTAGAAAGCTAACAACCACTCTCAGTGTGCTTAAAACTTTGGCTGCTTTCACACCAAATCAGGCACTGCAGCTCTCAGCCGCAGGATTGTGCGACTGTGTGGGAGTGTCACTTTAATGGCCCGTTGGTGGGGGGGTGGAGGGTGGAGACCGACTAGACGGCCCATCTCCCCATCTCAGCGACTAAGTATTTGCCTTTGATAAGTTTGTTTATGTTGGCTTAAAGGATCTGTAGAATTCACTTTGATTATCACTAGCCTCTGTAGTATCTCTATTAGGGTTGCAATATGAGATTTTCACAGTATGATAACCATGGAAGTTTGTGCAAAAATTTCTAAGTGCAGTTGAGGAGGAAAATGTGAATGTGCAGCTGAGATTCTCCTTTTGGTTACATATTTTTTGAATACCGTAGACAAGCAAATGTAAACCGTATAATTACTGTTCATTTTCATACCATGGTATACGGTTTCACTGTATACCTCTACAGCCCTAGTCTTTATTGCCACAAAGACACACCTGCATGCACACACATACAAAGCCAGTGCTCTCATTTGTTGGACAGCACACACGAACTGTTAATACATACTTTATTTCTGCGATTCACAATAATATTTAACAAAAGAAAGTATTACTTGTTTCATGATTGGCCAAGGAAGCATGACATCATGTTGTGTTTCTCCAAAAGTTGACTGCATTTTTTTTTTTACATCCCCTACCGCTCCACCACCACAGCCTAACCCCACTTCCCACGTTCAAATAATTGGGAGTACTGGCGTTTTTGCCACAATGCCTGATTTGCTGTGAATGCAGCCTTAGTGCTTGTCAGATTGACATGCGAGTGCTACCCCACCCCTCTCTGAGGCAGTCTGTTTTCTTCTCCATCTGAGGGAACTATCTGGCTCCTTCGCTAGTAAATGCTTCACTTCGTTCACCTGCTTGTCACCAACTTTCCCTGTCGACCATTTGGTGCTGGGTTTCTCACTTAAAAAAAGCAGCCTGCTGTGACTGAATATGACCATGATGAAGCGGTGATAGTGAATCAAATCAGTACAGACACAGGGGTCGTAAAGACAAAAGAATGCACTGACAGATGCTCAATGTTCCATAGGGCTGAGGGGAACTGCAGGGCTGGGTTATAATTCTCTGTTAGTTCATTACAGGCGACCCTTTTCACATTACACAGTCATTTGATTCATTGTTTGAGGCCTTATCACTGACACAACTGACCATCATGAAACAATGTTGAGCAAAAATGTACGTTATGATGTATTACACATTTGTTCCATTTTGCTTCTGCTCCACATTTGCCTGAGGGGTAGAACATATGGCTTTCCAGTATGGAAATAACAAGGTTTAAGGCCCCACAGTGCAAAATGTGAAACTGATCTCTATGGATTTTTGCATACAACAAACTATAAATTACTGAAAGAGTGCTGACTTTGGCCAATAATTTCTGCAGTTAGGGTACTGTACTGTGTAGATGATAGGACATCTGCATACAGGGAATACAGTACGTGGCAGTGGCGGCGCAGTAATATATAAGTTTTACAGTTGAGATAATGCAGTGCCAAAGAAATGGGTTGTCTGACAACAAGGTATAGCAGTGAAAAAATCCTCAATGTAGCGTCCACTTAGACATATATTGATATTTTTAGGTGGGCCTCTTTTAAGGTGGCTAAAAATAAATTTTAAATTTTGATACCCGCTGACTATCATCTACTGAAGGTAATACACTGTCTATATATAAGTACCTCATACAGCTCCATTTCAAAAATCCCGAACTACCCCTTTACGTGTGGTTTAATGCTGGCTCTAAGGGAAAGACCATGGTAGTCATTAAATATCTCCCCACACTATAGCGGTGGCCATGGTCCACAAGAACATCGTGCATCCTCCACTGTGTATGCCAAACCACAAAGCATCCAGTCAAGAATAAAACATACACCCTGGAAATTTAATGGCATATGTACTTTGCCCTAAAAGTTAATCACCCAAAAAATATGCTCAGCCCGAAACTCCTGACAGAATTGGGTCTAGTTTGCATCGCCTCCAGCGCCTGGAATCTCAGAAATTTATATCCACAGTTTTGCATGCCTCTACCATTGGGATCACTTTTGCCTTCACTGGCTGTTCTTCAGTTTTTCATATTCCTTCTTATGGATGCTGCTGTCACTTCAGACCACAGCATATTAAATCTTTCTCAACCACCCACTGTGTTGTTTCCCATCTGGACTTGCGCTCCTATATGTTTGCTATTTCCGCTTGTGTCTTGCACGCTCATTCAGCAGTTGTCTTCAGAAGGCCTCGTAAAAATGTTTTATAGTTGATAAGGTTGGCCAGTCTGGTCCTGGATAACTACTTTTTCCATCTGTACATTTTTTTTTGTCATATGCTTTTCCCATATGCTGCTACATACTAGGGCTGGGTAATATGGATAAAAATTCATATCTCAGTATTTTCAGGCTGAATGGTGATACACGATATACAGTACAGGCCAAAAGTTTGGACACACCTTCTCATTCAATGCGTTTTCTTTATTTTCATGACTATTTACATTGTAGATTCTCACTGAAGGCATCAAAACTATGAATGAACACGTGGAGTTATGTACTTAACAAAAAAAGGTGAAATAACTGAAAACATGTTTTATATTCTAGTTTCTGCAAAATAGCCACCCTTTGCTCTGATTACTGCTTTGCACACTCTTGGCATTCTCTCCATGAGCTTCAAGAGGTAGTCACCTGAAATGGTTTTCCAACAGTCTTGAAGGAGTTTCCAGAGGTGTTTAGCACTTGTTGGCCCCTTTGCCTTCACTCTGCGGTCCAGCTCACCCCAAACCATCTAGATTGGGTTCAGGTCCGGTGACTGTGGAGGCCAGGTCATCTGCCGCAGCACTCCATCACTCTCCTTCTTGGTCAAATAGCCCTTACACAGCCTGGAGGTGTGTTTGGGGTCATTGTCCTGTTGAAAAATAAATGATCGTCCAACTAAACACAAACCGGATGGGATGGCATGTCGCTGCAGGATGCTGTGGTAGCCATGCTGGTTCAGTGTGCCTTC